AGGCTGAGGGGAGACCTCATCAGTCTCTGCAACTGCCTGAAAGGTGATTGTAGAGAGGTTGGTGCTGGTCTCTTCTCACAGGTCATTAGTGACAGAACAAGAGGGAAGGGCTTCAAGCTGCACCAGGGCAGGTTCAGACTGGTCATTAGGAACAACTATTTCACAGCAAGAGTGGCCAGACCCTGGCACAGGCTGCCCAGGGAGGTGGTGGAGTCACCACCCCCAGGTGTGTCGAAGGGTGGTTTGGATGTGGTGTTGGTGGGGCTGGTTTAGGGGAGAACTTTGTAGAGTAGGGATGATGGTTGGACTGGGTGATCCCAAGGGGCTTTCCCAACCTGAATGGTTCTATGATCATTTCACTTCACTTTTTCCTATCCTAAAAGTAAACATTCTATAGTATTTCTTTAAAAGAAAACACTCCTGTTAAGAAAACAAAACCAAAACCAACAACAACTCATATTTTTCCATCAGCTCTAATGAAATAAGGAGCACAGGAATCTTATTTCAGCTGCACAACACTAATGTGGGCAAAGTCTGGATTAGCCCAACCATTCTCCTTGTACAGTTATGCAAAACATGAAAGAGATGGAAAAGACTTCCTCCCTTAATCCATTTTATGTAACGTGCACTTCCTGCTCTACCTCGTACACACGTGGATGCCTTTTTATTCTGATTTTTTATGTTATAATAGTTAGGGAGCCTGAGTCACATTTCCATAGCTACAGCACTGACACTAGGAAGATGCTCTCCCCACAGGTCATGATTGAAGTGGGTAAAACAGGGGGAGGATTTTCCCTGGTTAGACATGGAGCCAGCCCCTGGCATCATGGAGGGGTTGGAAGATGCTGGAAGCTGGGGAGGGAGCAGGAATGCCCATGGAGCAACCCTCCCCACACACATTTACTGTGAGTTTGATTTGTGTGGGCTTAAACCAGCTTCTATACTGGGTCATTTTTTACCTCCTGCTCACCTGCTTCAAGAAGGAAGGATTGAATCACAAGCCCAAAAATAGGTATTTTTAAGAAACCTCCTTTCAAGAACCCAGCAGCAAATGGAAGTATTTTGCTCCAAAAAAAAAACCTCAAAAGAAGGAGAAGAAATAGAAAATCTAGGGGATGTAAGATTTGGAAACAGATCAAATCCAAGCCCATGGTTTATCCATCAGGCAGACAGGGAGTTCCTCTCCAGTGGGTGAGAGCCTGGCCCTGGAGAAGTGCTGGGAGAAAGCCTGGATTTCAGGAGCAGCCTGGCTCCTGGCCCTGGTGTCAGGCTGCAGAATCATGTCTATACATTAAGAAGCCAAAGTATAATAACAACATTTGCTGGACAGGATGGCATGAATATAAATCAGGGCTGCTCAAGGTGCGTCAGCTCCGGGGAACCTGCTCCTTAGTGTGATGGTGATGGTCAAAGGGAAGGAAATCATTGTTGGTGAAAAGGAAACCAAACACAACCCTACCTGCAGAGTGAAGAAGATGCCTCCAACATAAACACAATTTGGCTTTGCAAAGGGAGGGCTACTCAGCACATCTCATTGCAACAGCCATTTGTTACTACACACCCGCCTTCCCTTCTTGATCACATTCACAGTTAAAAACAAGATTAGCTCTGGTCCACGAGCCTTAATCCAGACAGTTATCTTGTTTATGTAAGCATGGCTGACTTAGGCAAGGTTTCCACTGGGAATTCTACGTCAAAAGATATGAAAGTTATTTTCTTTGTTCTCAGAGATAAAAGCCATTGTTCTCCTGTTGTGTAAAAGCTCAGGGTAAAACACCAAGGGAAAAAAAAAAACCACAACCAAACACCCCACATTCAGTTGATACCATCAACTGATATTAGTTCATAAATATTAATGGGAGAACAATATACATCTGAGATTAACTTGGGCTGACTTTATGGTCCTTATGGCTGTCAGGGCAGGAGAAGGGTTTTATTTCCCAGCTCCAGCAGCTCCCTGGGCTGTGGAGGGGAGTGGGATGAGCTCCAGAGCCCTCCTGCTTCAGCCCTGAATTCCTCCCCTGAATTGAGGGAGGGGGACAGGGATGTCACTGGCTTCTTACCATGGAGTCTAAGGCAGACACTAAGCTGGTGATGATTTCATCTTTCTGGGGAAAAACCATATTCCACTGGTCAGCTCTGGAGGTGCTGAGAGTCACATCTAAAGGCTTCCCTGCCAGGGCCATATTCACCTGAAATGGGAAAAAAATACACAAGATAAGCATCACTGGACACTCAAGTGCTACATATTGCCAGAGCAGCCCCACCACCAGCACGTGCCTGGGCTATGGGTGGTGCTGGCATGGACACACAGGGGAAACTGAGGCACAGACTGAGGCTGGGGCCAGCCTGACCCCACGAGCCCCACATCTCCTCTGCTAAAGGCACATAATTGCTGACGCTGCTGAGCCAGAACCAAACCTTGGGGCTGATGCTGGGTGTCCCAGCACCAGCCAGGTCACCTCTGCCCTCAGGACTCACCCCTGGGGAGATGCCACTGTCATGTGGGGTGTCCCAGAGCCATCACGAGGTGGGACACCCCAGATGAGCAGGATGCAGCTGCTGAAGCAGATGCAGATCATTTCCAGGGCTGAGCTCTGGGGGAGGCACCGAGCAGGGGATGACACATGTGTCCCTGGGAGGACAGGGTGCTGCCCATCCCCACACCTCACTCCCTGTATCCTGAGAGGAGAGCCCAGCACCCAAAGGTGTCTCCCAAACAGGCCAAAGCCATGGGGTGCTTGGCTCTTGCCCTGAGGAAGGGAGGCAGCTCACGGCAAGAGGCTCCATCATCAAATCATCCCACCCCACAGCCCCTAGGGACTGAGCTGGCAGGAGCAGGACCAGGCAGCACCCTGAGACCCCACATCCAAGAGGGGGCTGAGCCCCAGGAGCTCCAACCCACACTGCAAAATGGGGCAGAAAAGGAGAAGAAATGCCAGAAATGCTACACGTGCAGCAACCATGCCAGGTCTCTGCATCCTGGTGCTCACATCCCACCACGGCAATGTTGATGCTGCAGGGGAAACTGAGGCTTGACCCACCCCCACGACAGAGCACCCACACTGGGCACAGCAACATCCCCCAGCACAGCATCATCATTCCCCAGAACCCAACATCATCCCTCCAGCACCCAGCACAGCATCATCCCCCAGCACAGCATCATTCTCCAGCACCCAAAATAATCCCCCCAGCACAGCATCATCCCCTCAGCACCCAGCACAGCATCATCCCCCCAGGACAGCATCATCCCCAGCACCCAATATAATCCCCCCAGCACAGCATCACCCCCCCAGGACAGCATCATCCCCAGCACCCAACATGATTCCCCAGCACCCAGCACAGCAACATCCCCCCAGCACCCACCACAGCATCATTCCCCCAGCACACCATCATCTCCCAGCACACCATCATTCCCCC